CGTCCTTCTCAAAAGCAGCAGCGATCTTAGCAGCGATAAGGTAGCCCTCACCGTGTAGTGCATTACTAAGCTGTCAACCCACCAACTCACTCACCGTGTAATGCACGTCCTTCTCAAAAGCAGCAGCGATCTTAGCAGCGATAAGGTAGCCCTCACCGTGTAGTGCATTACTAAGCTGTCAACCCACCAACTCACTCACCGTGTAATGCACGTCCTTCTCAAAAGCAGCAGCGATCTTAGCAGCGATAAGGTAGCCCTCACCGTGTAGTGCATTACTAAGCTGTCAACCCACCAACTCACTCACCGTGTAATGCACGTCCTTCTCAAAAGCAGCAGCGATCTTAGCAGCGATAAGGTAGCCCTCACCGTGTAGTGCATTACTAAGCTGTCAACCCACCAACTCACTCACCGTGTAATGCACGTCCTTCTCAAAAGCAGCAGCGATCTTAGCAGCGATAAGGTAGCCCTCACCGTGTAGTGCATTACTAAGCTGTCAACCCACCAACTCACTCACCGTGTAATGCACGTCCTTCTCAAAAGCAGCAGCGATCTTAGCAGCGATAAGGTAGCCCTCACCGTGTAGTGCATTACTAAGCTGTCAACCCACCAACTCACTCACCGTGTAATGCACGTCCTTCTCAAAAGCAGCAGCGATCTTAGCAGCGATAAGGTAGCCCTCACCGTGTAGTGCATTACTAAGCTGTCAACCCACCAACTCACTCACCGTGTAATGCACGTCCTTCTCAAAAGCAGCAGCGATCTTAGCAGCGATAAGGTAGCCCTCACCGTGTAGTGCATTACTAAGCTGTCAACCCACCAACTCACTCACCGTGTAATGCACGTCCTTCTCAAAAGCAGCAGCGATCTTAGCAGCGATAAGGTAGCCCTCACCGTGTAGTGCATTACTAAGCTGTCAACCCACCAACTCACTCACCGTGTAATGCACGTCCTTCTCAAAAGCAGCAGCGATCTTAGCAGCGATAAGGTAGCCCTCACCGTGTAGTGCATTACTAAGCTGTCAACCCACCAACTCACTCACCGTGTAATGCACGTCCTTCTCAAAAGCAGCAGCGATCTTAGCAGCGATAAGGTAGCCCTCACCGTGTAGTGCATTACTAAGCTGTCAACCCACCAACTCACTCACCGTGTAATGCACGTCCTTCTCAAAAGCAGCAGCGATCTTAGCAGCGATAAGGTAGCCCTCACCGTGTAGTGCATTACTAAGCTGTCAACCCACCAACTCACTCACCGTGTAATGCACGTCCTTCTCAAAAGCAGCAGCGATCTTAGCAGCGATAAGGTAGCCCTCACCGTGTAGTGCATTACTAAGCTGTCAACCCACCAACTCACTCACCGTGTAATGCACGTCCTTCTCAAAAGCAGCAGCGATCTTAGCAGCGATAAGGTAGCCCTCACCGTGTAGTGCATTACTAAGCTGTCAACCCACCAACTCACTCACCGTGTAATGCACGTCCTTCTCAAAAGCAGCAGCGATCTTAGCAGCGATAAGGTAGCCCTCACCGTGTAGTGCATTACTAAGCTGTCAACCCACCAACTCACTCACCGTGTAATGCACGTCCTTCTCAAAAGCAGCAGCGATCTTAGCAGCGATAAGGTAGCCCTCACCGTGTAGTGCATTACTAAGCTGTCAACCCACCAACTCACTCACCGTGTAATGCACGTCCTTCTCAAAAGCAGCAGCGATCTTAGCAGCGATAAGGTAGCCCTCACCGTGTAGTGCATTACTAAGCTGTCAACCCACCAACTCACTCACCGTGTAATGCACGTCCTTCTCAAAAGCAGCAGCGATCTTAGCAGCGATAAGGTAGCCCTCACCGTGTAGTGCATTACTAAGCTGTCAACCCACCAACTCACTCACCGTGTAATGCACGTCCTTCTCAAAAGCAGCAGCGATCTTAGCAGCGATAAGGTAGCCCTCACCGTGTAGTGCATTACTAAGCTGTCAACCCACCAACTCACTCACCGTGTAATGCACGTCCTTCTCAAAAGCAGCAGCGATCTTAGCAGCGATAAGGTAGCCCTCACCGTGTAGTGCATTACTAAGCTGTCAACCCACCAACTCACTCACCGTGTAATGCACGTCCTTCTCAAAAGCAGCAGCGATCTTAGCAGCGATAAGGTAGCCCTCACCGTGTAGTGCATTACTAAGCTGTCAACCCACCAACTCACTCACCGTGTAATGCACGTCCTTCTCAAAAGCAGCAGCGATCTTAGCAGCGATAAGGTAGCCCTCACCGTGTAGTGCATTACTAAGCTGTCAACCCACCAACTCACTCACCGTGTAATGCACGTCCTTCTCAAAAGCAGCAGCGATCTTAGCAGCGATAAGGTAGCCCTCACCGTGTAGTGCATTACTAAGCTGTCAACCCACCAACTCACTCACCGTGTAATGCACGTCCTTCTCAAAAGCAGCAGCGATCTTAGCAGCGATAAGGTAGCCCTCACCGTGTAGTGCATTACTAAGCTGTCAACCCACCAACTCACTCACCGTGTAATGCACGTCCTTCTCAAAAGCAGCAGCGATCTTAGCAGCGATAAGGTAGCCCTCACCGTGTAGTGCATTACTAAGCTGTCAACCCACCAACTCACTCACCGTGTAATGCACGTCCTTCTCAAAAGCAGCAGCGATCTTAGCAGCGATAAGGTAGCCCTCACCGTGTAGTGCATTACTAAGCTGTCAACCCACCAACTCACTCACCGTGTAATGCACGTCCTTCTCAAAAGCAGCAGCGATCTTAGCAGCGATAAGGTAGCCCTCACCGTGTAGTGCATTACTAAGCTGTCAAAACACCAACTCACTCACCGTGTAATGCACGTCCTTCTCAAAAGCAGCAGCGATCTTAGCAGCGATAAGGTAGCCCTCACCGTGTAGTGCATTACTAAGCTGTCAACCCACCAACTCACTCACCGTGTAATGCACGTCCTTCTCAAAAGCAGCAGCGATCTTAGCAGCGATAAGGTAGCCCTCACCGTGTAGTGCATTACTAAGCTGTCAACCCACCAACTCACTCACCGTGTAATGCACGTCCTTCTCAAAAGCAGCAGCGATCTTAGCAGCGATAAGGTAGCCCTCACCGTGTAGTGCATTACTAAGCTGTCAACCCACCAACTCACTCACCGTGTAATGCACGTCCTTCTCAAAAGCAGCAGCGATCTTAGCAGCGATAAGGTAGCCCTCACCGTGTAGTGCATTACTAAGCTGTCAACCCACCAACTCACTCACCGTGTAATGCACGTCCTTCTCAAAAGCAGCAGCGATCTTAGCAGCGATAAGGTAGCCCTCACCGTGTAGTGCATTACTAAGCTGTCAACCCACCAACTCACTCACCGTGTAATGCACGTCCTTCTCAAAAGCAGCAGCGATCTTAGCAGCGATAAGGTAGCCCTCACCGTGTAGTGCATTACTAAGCTGTCAACCCACCAACTCACTCACCGTGTAATGCACGTCCTTCTCAAAAGCAGCAGCGATCTTAGCAGCGATAAGGTAGCCCTCACCGTGTAGTGCATTACTAAGCTGTCAACCCACCAACTCACTCACCGTGTAATGCACGTCCTTCTCAAAAGCAGCAGCGATCTTAGCAGCGATAAGGTAGCCCTCACCGTGTAGTGCATTACTAAGCTGTCAACCCACCAACTCACTCACCGTGTAATGCACGTCCTTCTCAAAAGCAGCAGCGATCTTAGCAGCGATAAGGTAGCCCTCACCGTGTAGTGCATTACTAAGCTGTCAACCCACCAACTCACTCACCGTGTAATGCACGTCCTTCTCAAAAGCAGCAGCGATCTTAGCAGCGATAAGGTAGCCCTCACCGTGTAGTGCATTACTAAGCTGTCAACCCACCAACTCACTCACCGTGTAATGCACGTCCTTCTCAAAAGCAGCAGCGATCTTAGCAGCGATAAGGTAGCCCTCACCGTGTAGTGCATTACTAAGCTGTCAACCCACCAACTCACTCACCGTGTAATGCACGTCCTTCTCAAAAGCAGCAGCGATCTTAGCAGCGATAAGGTAGCCCTCACCGTGTAGTGCATTACTAAGCTGTCAACCCACCAACTCACTCACCGTGTAATGCACGTCCTTCTCAAAAGCAGCAGCGATCTTAGCAGCGATAAGGTAGCCCTCACCGTGTAGTGCATTACTAAGCTGTCAACCCACCAACTCACTCACCGTGTAATGCACGTCCTTCTCAAAAGCAGCAGCGATCTTAGCAGCGATAAGGTAGCCCTCACCGTGTAGTGCATTACTAAGCTGTCAACCCACCAACTCACTCACCGTGTAATGCACGTCCTTCTCAAAAGCAGCAGCGATCTTAGCAGCGATAAGGTAGCCCTCACCGTGTAGTGCATTACTAAGCTGTCAACCCACCAACTCACTCACCGTGTAATGCACGTCCTTCTCAAAAGCAGCAGCGATCTTAGCAGCGATAAGGTAGCCCTCACCGTGTAGTGCATTACTAAGCTGTCAACCCACCAACTCACTCACCGTGTAATGCACGTCCTTCTCAAAAGCAGCAGCGATCTTAGCAGCGATAAGGTAGCCCTCACCGTGTAGTGCATTACTAAGCTGTCAACCCACCAACTCACTCACCGTGTAATGCACGTCCTTCTCAAAAGCAGCAGCGATCTTAGCAGCGATAAGGTAGCCCTCACCGTGTAGTGCATTACTAAGCTGTCAACCCACCAACTCACTCACCGTGTAATGCACGTCCTTCTCAAAAGCAGCAGCGATCTTAGCAGCGATAAGGTAGCCCTCACCGTGTAGTGCATTACTAAGCTGTCAACCCACCAACTCACTCACCGTGTAATGCACGTCCTTCTCAAACGCAGCTGCGATCTTAGCAGCGATAAAGTATCGCTGGCTGGGCTTCTCTGCCAGCCCTGATATGATGAGCGGCGTGCGAGCCTCTATCTTTGATCAACAAGGAAACAGGGCAGGGGGTACATTATTGAGCTGTCAAACCACCAACCAACTCACTCACCGTGTAATGCACATCCTTCTCAAACGCAGCAGCGATCTTGGCAGCGATAAGGTAGCGCTCGCTGGGCTTCTCTGCGGGCCCTGAGATGATGAGCGGTGTGCGGGCCTCGTCTATGAGAATGGAGTCGACCTAGTCGATGATGCAGAAGTTGAATGCGGGCACCACCAGGTCCGTCTTGGACTGGGTGGGGGGAGGTGAGCGATGGCAACAGGTTGGGGAAGGTACGGGAGGAGAGACATCAACATGTGGGCCTCGTCTATGAGAATGGGGTCGACCTCGTCAATGATGCAGAAGTATCAATGATGCAGAAGTATCAATGATGCAGAAGTATCAATGATGCAGAAGTATCAATGATGCAGAAGTATCAATGATGCAGAAGTATCAATGATGCAGAAGTATCAATGATGCAGAAGTATCAATGATGCAGAAGTATCAATGATGCAGAAGTATCAATGATGCAGAAGTATCAATGATGCAGAAGTATCAATGATGCAGAAGTATCAATGATGCAGAAGTATCAATGATGCAGAAGTTGAATGCGGGCACCACCAGGTCTGCTTTGGACTGGAAACAGGGGAGGTAAGGCACAGGATGAGATCATGAGACGGAAGGGAAAGGATGAGTGGGATGGGATGGATGGAAAAGGAAGGAAAAGAACCGACACTCAGAGGGAACAGGCTCTCACAGTAGCAAGATTGTCCATGAGGTAGTCGAATCCCAGCTCGCTGTTGATGTCTATGTTTCAGTGCCTCAGAGGAGAGGAGATGCACGAGGATAGGCACTCACAGTAACAGCATGTATGCATACGGATAGGGCAAACACTAACAGAAGCAAGATTGTCCCTGAGGTAGTCGAATCCCAGCTCGCTGTTGGTGACGCATGCGCCATGACATCACACGCGTAGCTCTCCCTCCTCGCCAGGTGAATATTGCGTCGACTCAAAAGAGACTCACAGTGGCAGCATGCACGCATGCGCGCATGACACGAGGCACTCACAGTGGCGAGATTGTCTCTCAGGTAGTCAAATCCAAGCTCGCTGTTGGTGACATATGTGACATCGCATGCGTAGCTCTCTCTCCTCTGCTGCGCCGTCATGCCCTCTGCGAGCGAGGCAAGGCACAGAGAGAGGAAGGCTACAATGTACATATTTCCGATGACATGGTACGATTATGGATCGCGGGGGTTGATTGATACCAAGGCTGAACAAGGCTACAATGTACATATTTCCGATGAATGAGGCGAGGCTAACCAGAAAGTGTCTATGTCGAATAAGTATATAGCGAGGTGCTTACGCTGAATGAGGCCGACAGAAAGGCCAAGATACTTGTGAATCTGCCCCACCCACTCAGCATCCCTGCGAGCCAAGTAGTCGTTGACCGTCACCACATGCACGCCCTTTCCTGGGGAGGAGGGAGATTGAAGGGCGTTGAGAGGACGGAGGGAATTGGGGGTCGACAGGAGGGCAATCGATTGTGTTTGTCATCTCACACACACACGTCCCCCCTCCCTCTCCCCCCTCTAACACACACACTCACTCACACACACTCACTCATACACACACACTCGTGAGAGCGTTTAGGTATGCAGGCAGCACGGCCACCAGCGTCTTGCCTTCCCCCGTCCGTTTTCGAGTCGACTCAAAAGAACGTCCGCATCTCAGCAATCTAACCGTCATGCAGCACCATGCCACCTCTGTCTATGCTTGCATTCAGTCACATGACGTACAATCACGCCCCCTACATATCACCTGTGAGGGCGTTGAGATAAGCAGGCAGCACGGCCACCAGCGTCTTGCCTTCCCCCGTCCGCATCTCAGCAATCTGCCCGTCATGCAGCACCATGCCACCTGGCATGTTCACAGGCATCCACACCACATGACACGTGGCAGACATCAATAGGGCCAAAAAACTTCCACAAAAAGGGAGGAAGGCAGCTATTTCAGAGTGGATCCTAAGAAAGGATTCTGCCTTCAAATTGTGTGGACAACAAGGAAGCACGTGGGGGGGTTGGAGGGGAGTGGGGGGTTGGCTGGCTACGTTTGCATCACTTGCACTGGTTCTCGAAAGTGATACAGGAACGTGAGGAGGTGCTTTCATTCTTCAAGGCACGAAGCAAAAGGGTTAGCAATCACGAAAAGAGGTTTCTCAGAAGAGAGATACCAAGGAGAAAATAAGGTAAGTGCGGTAACGTAAGGCATGTTAAGATGAGGTTATTTCAAAATTCTAGGCATGATGTGTTGTGAGAGGGTTGTGGATCAATAAGCGGGCTGTTGAGAAGGAGGGATGCTCTCAGTTGAGCATTACCAAGAAGAATCGGTTGTTGAGAGACGGACGGCTAGTAGAGACGGACGGCTCATAGTGGAGACGGACGGCTTATAGTAGAGTGTGTTTGGGTGTACCTATGAGCTGAACATCAAAAGGTCTCAGGCCGAGAACTCTCTTGGAAGCTTCTCGCACAACAGCAAACGCCTCCTGCCAGTAGGGAAATGTGACAGTCGCAGCACCGAGTGGGGAAGTTGGAAATGATAAGGAAAGCAGCAGGTAGGGAAAGCAGCGGGTGCAAAAGCAACAGGTGGAAAAGCAGCAGCACACTCTAGAGAAATTTAATGCAAAGTGACTATACCGGGAGCACACTCTCAAGGGTCTCTCCAGCAGCAACCCTTTGCTGCAGGTCTCTAGTCGTTCCTCTTAGCTGGCCGTCCGATAGTCGCGACGCGATCGCCTCCAGCCGGTTAACCCGCGCTAGCTGCTCCGCGTACTGCTGACGTGTCTTCTCCGCGGGGCTCGTCGCGCCGAATATCCCCCCAAGCACCTCCCCGATCGCTGTTTTGCGCGCGGTCGGCGCTTTTGGAGCTCGAGACTGGGGTTTCCCCGCCGTTGCTACAGCCGCAGCTGCTTGGAGTGCTGTACATGCTGCTATAGATGATGCTGCAGACGCTGCTACAGATGGTGCTGCTGTCCGTTCCGACGCAACTGCAGCGGCGAGAGCTGGCCGTGCAGCCGCTACAGTCGCCGGAGCTGCTGTTCTCCTCGCCCGACTGGACGATCGCGAGGAGTCGCCTACACTAGCTCGTGCGACAGTTGCTGCGACGGACTGCGACGGAAAGCGACGCGCAGCGTAACTTAATCTCGCTCCTAACCCATCTGCAGGACCAATCGACAAGGGTTGTCGTCGACAAACATCCCCGAGGTCGAGGCACGTAAAACACGAACCAGCTGCAAGACCAAGCGAGCCATTTCCGCCAGCTCTAACTGGTGAGCCTCTAGAGACACGGCAATCGCGGTTTGCGAGAATCGCGGGACCAGAACGCAAGGATTTTGTCGGAATGGACCTCAGGACCGACGTTCCATGGCGGATTAAGGACGCGGCAAAAGCGCACAACCTCACTGGAATCTTGTTTTTCGCATACGAAAAGTACACAACCTCTTTCAACCGCGTTAGAAAACGACCCTGAGGCGATCGATCCAACACTTATGCCACGTCCAAGATTTCCGATCTCGTCAAGCTCGAACCTAGACGAGGAAAATGGAGCTGCTCCATCAGAGACTGCAAACAAACGGACGAACTACACCCTCGTTCTCGATGCTCTCACCGGCAGAAGCACTGGCTGCAGTGTCTGGACGTAGCGGGCTGGTGCGATAACTCGGTTGCGGGCAAAGTCGCACGAGGCGAGGAAGCAGGGCTTGGGCCGAAAAAAAAAACCGTTTACACTTCAAAGCCGTCTAAACCGCTTAAAAAACGACAGTACCATTTTTGTAACGTAGAGAACCTTGACTAAACGCCTTGGGTGAAATTGTCACTATAGCGCATGTGATACGACCTACTTTGGTCCGTTGCGGTTACACAAAGCGTCTCGGTCAGTATATCATATGCCAGTCTATCGAGAAAATGGAGTACTTCGAAAAATATGGGCGCCAGGGTCGAAAATGCAGGGTCGAAAATGCAGGGTCGGGCGGATAGGACCCGCAGCGAAATGCACCGACAACTTAGTGTTAACCGTTCAGAGCGTAGCACAGCTGGTCGTTGTCCAGTCATTTTCAGCCTGCGACTGAACAGTCGACGCCGATCGATCGCGGCTGTCACCTGTGGCGCGATGTGCTCTCCCGCCTATCCAAACGCACGATTGATGTGAGCACCATGGCCATCAATCGTGCGAGCTGCAGGTGCCACCATTTTGGGTGCCATTTTACTGTACATCTTCGGCGTTCTGCGAAAAACGGATACCAGGCCTTGACGATTTCGCCAATACGCTGTACAAGCGTCACACTGACTTCCCACGGTCGAACCTGGCAAAATAAAAACAGGTGCCGCGTCCTAAGTGACTAGAACACGCTGGGCAAAAAAGATTCAACCAACCGTTCTTCCTTCCTCAAACCCGACGAAGTCCGAAACACCGTGCCTTGTGGACCACGCCATGGTCCAACTGAACACTTTCCCCTCGTCAACTCATTTCACCTCCTCCCTTCCATGTTTCTTTCCATCTTCCACTGCCGTAGCGCCCGTATAATTTCCCTTCGGCCCCCCTCCTCAAACGGCCCTCACCTCATTCCTCGCTGCGGGTTGCACGTTCGAGGCCTTGCACTCACATTTATATAGAATTAGTCATTTGGTAAATGTCGGCCTCCAAACTTCCGTCCCGTTCACAGTGGGTTTAGTAGTCCACACCTGAGTCTCACTCCGTCCCAAACTTACTCCGAGTCTTACTAGTCTCCCTCCACACCTGGCACGCGCTAGTAGCTCATTTCAATGGCGGAGACTGTGACGGATTCCACTTTCTGGAGACTTGTTTTTTGGGACGATACGTTTCCTGCCCTCGTCTTCTTCTACGCGTCATGGTCCGTCCCTTCCCTAGCAATCGCTCCCTCCATTGACCAGCTCGCGGGTTTATTTGCAGGAAGGGCTGATATCTTCAAGATGAACATCGACGAGAACCCCCAGACGGCCGAAATTGATGGCGTCAGAGATGTTCCTGTTGTGAAGATTTACAAGGGTGGGAGTGCGGTTCAGACGATCGAGGGCGTGATGAACAAGTCGACCTTGTTTGAAGCCCTCAAGGCTTTCGTCTGAACAAAAGAACATCAATTGTATCACACTCCGAGTGTGAGGGCCTACCTACTTGGCTGTAGGTGTCAGTTCGTACGGCGGACAACCGCCCAGTTAGATTGGCTAACAGCCTAACACCTTGCAGAAGACTAGGGGAGTGTTCAGCGCAACTTCCCCTAGCTGACCGACCGCCCAAACCAATCGGAAGCCCCGCACCTAGAGATCGAAAGGAGCGGGGCCCGGAGGGCTATGATGCTCGCCCCCTTCATAGCGGGCTGGGTTGAAAATTTTTCAGGATTGAAGGTTAGGGTAACGGGTTTGCGGTCACAATATGTGCTCATTGAATGGCTATTTTAACTGGAGAACGAGGTAACCATGTGCAGTTGCACATAATCTCCAGCTGAATGGACAGATAGGAACACACCATATCTCAACCTTAGGCCCTCCTGCCTGAGCTCTTCATTGTGAGACCAGCAATATATGTTTTTGCTTGCTGTGGTGATCCCCTAGACTATGCACAGATCACCTGCAGTCTTAGATTCCCTTTCATGTGAGGACTAGGCATAGTGATAATTCAAAGGAAAAAAATGGTCAAAATCATCAAAATGAATATTTGTTTACCAATTTCAGGCACACTAAAATCCCTCCCACCATTATCCGACCTTCCCAAACCTAATTCGACCCACCCTGATCCGACCTGATCCGACCCATAGCATAGCACCGCAATTTGATGGAGTTCGTAGATGTAGACATAGGATGATAGGAGACTTTCCGAGCCTTGGCATGTTAGCACATGAGGGTTTGTGGGGGAAAGAGAAGCGACAGCATGAGAGTGGTGAGGGTGGGAAGGCGAGCGAACGGGACTGAAAGAGAAGGTAATCTATGGACGGGCAGTAATTTGAATCTGTTTCAAGGAAGGCAGGGTATTGAGGATTGATACAGTATAGGGGATGGAAGGCATGTGGCGAGGAGGAAGCGTGTGTGGGGGTGCGTGCGAGGCGATTGTGTGAGGTCGGGCAGGGCAGCAGGCGATGCCGGAATGAATGTGTTTGTTTGCAGACCCGGTGCCTCATGAAGGAATCACTTTTGAGAATCCTCAATAGTTGGGTGCTACGAGTGCGCGTGCAGTGTTGTCGCGGTGACTACGAGCGCTGTTGCCTACTCTTGCTGCTGCCTTTGCTCCACAAGACTCTTTTGTGCCTGTTGCTGCCCCCTCTACGCAGCCGAGCTCGTCTGAACCCCACATTGACTGCTTGGGGTGGAAAAAAAGTGAGGAGAGCTGGGGAGACAGGATGGGGAGATGGGGAGGCAGGAAGAGGCGACTGGGGAGGCCGGAAGGGGGGATTGGGGAGGCATGGGAGATGTGGGGGCAGGCTGGAGAGATGGGGCGACAGGAAGGAGAGATGGGGAGGCGGGAAAGGGGATGGGGCGACACGAAGGGGAGATGGGGAGGCGGGAGAGGGGAATGGGCGACAGGAAGGGAAGATGGGGAGGCGGGAAGGGGGGATGGGGTGACAGGAAGGGGAGATGGGGAGGCGGGAAAGGGGGATAGGGGGACAGGAAGGGGAGATGGGGAGGCGGAAAAGGGGGATGGGGGCGACAGGGAGGGGAGATGGGGAGGCGGAAAAGGGGGGATGGGGTGACAGGAAGGGGAGATGGGGAGGCGGAAAAGGGGGATAGGGCGATAGGAAGGGGAGATGGGGAGGCGGGAAGGGGGGATGGGGCGACAGGAAGGGGAGATGGGCAGGCGGGAAGGGGGGATGGGGAGGGAGGACTGAGAGAGAGGCGCCGAGGCGAAAATGAGAGGTAGGGAAGAAGGAAGAAGAAAGGAGGAAGGAGGGGAAGGGATGCAAGGGGATGGAAATAGAGGGGAAGGCAAGAAATGGGAAATCAAGAAAGGAAGAGACGGGAAGGGGAGAATGGAAAGGGCAAGAAGGGAGGTTAATGGAAGGAAGGGCAGGAAAGTAAGGGAAGGATGGAAAGTGGGGAATAACAGGAAATCAGGATGCACTGGGACGACTTACCTGGTGTAGGAAGCTAGATGCTCTAATCTTGCACACGATGCACGCGTACCCCCCTTCCAACCCTCCCTCTTCCACGCTCGCATCAGCGGAGCGGCGCTGGCTATAAGGGAGAGAACGGGAAAACGTTTGTGGCGCCTGTCGGAATTCTTCTGCCCCAGCCCTGCGTGCCCTGGACACGTCACTCCTACTCTCCCTCTTGGCTCTGGCACCCTGCCTTTTCTTTGTGGTCTCAGCTTGGCCTCGTAAGGGCCCTTAGTTCTCTGTTGCTCCTTCCCCTGCGTCCCTCCTCATGACCCACTTGCCCCCTCCGCGGTTGTCTTTGGGCCCCTGCCGACTGCCGCTGGATCTCTCCGTCGTCTGGCTGGGTATCTGCTTGCCCCACCGTCCGCCCTTTTGCCCGCGCCACATTCGTGCAATGATCTATTCTCTTCTGCCCTTGCGCGCTCACGAGCACCACCACCCCAGCGTCCTTAACTTCTTTAACCTTCCAGCGCTCCGTGCTCAGTCCGACATCTATCACATCATGTTTGGCCTGTTTCATGTATACTTCCTCCCCTGCCCCCAGGGCCCTGTCCCCTTTGCCGGCTTGTCGTTCTCCCCTCTTCTTGTACCACTGTGCGTCTCTCCGTTGCGCCACGTGCAGGTTCTCCAGTGCCGCTGGTAATAATTCTCTCAGGTACCGAGCTCTCGCCTCGGCCAGCCCCACCCAATCCTCCTCCTTGACCACCTGCACCGATCCCGTACGTATCTTCGGCGCATCCACGGGTAGCACTGGGTCACGCCCCAGGAGAAGGTAGTATGGCGATAGGTCTCTCAGTGCCGCCTGCTTGCTGAATCGGTAGCCGGCTACTACCCACGGTAGCCGCGCGTCCCAATCTCTCTTGAATCTCTCCCCGTAAGCCCTCAGCCCCCGCTTCACCGTCTGTACGAATCGCTCCGTGAGCCCGTCACTCTGCGGGTGATATCGTGAGGTCCTCCTATGAGTAATGCCGGTGGCTTGCAGCAGCTTATCGAACTCCCCCATGAACTCTGTCCCTTGGTCGGTGAGCACTTCCCCGCATGCCCCGAACCGAGTGAGCACTTGCACCTCGAATGCCTCGGCTATCTTAGCCGAGTTCTTGCTGGGAAGGGCCTTCACTTCGACCCACTTACTGCCGTGCTCGATCATGATTAGAATGTATCGCTTCCCCCTCCTGCTCAACGGCATCTCTCCCGCCAGGTCTAAGGACCACCTAAACCCAATGCCATGTATGGGTAGCGATTGCAGCTCCTTCCTGCCCCGTTCCAGTTCTGCTTTGTTCCGACTGCATAACTCACACTTTCCCACCCATTCTCTGATCTCCCTCCTCATCCCTTCTCACCACCAGCCGGTCTCCACCAACTGCGCAGTGCGCAGGCTCCCATAGTGTCCTAATTGACGGTGCACAGTGCGGATGATTTGCTCTCGCTCGTGTGGCCGCGGGACCAACTTCCAACCGTCCCGCGTGTTCTTCTGCAACTGCTCTTGATGCCAGCGGTAGCGAGCTCCTCGAGCTCTGTCTCTCTCGCTGGCTGGGGTCCCTTCAGCGGTCCTGCCCTGTACCCAGTCCAGGACTTCTTGGTCCTCCCATACGTCCGCAGGCCCCTTCCCCTTTCCACGCATAGCCCCTTCTGCGTCTAATTCCTTCGCCAGTGCTACTAAGCAAGCCGTGGGGCGGTGAATTGGTGGATTCCACGACAGCCCGTCTACATGCTGCATAGTTTTGCCTGCTCTGTGTCGGATGGAGAAGTCGTATTCTTGTAGCCGCATGGCCCAGCGGGCGTTCCTCCTCGTCAACGCCTGGTTAGTCATCAGCCAGGTCAGCGGTTGGTGATCTATCACAAGCTCGAATGGCCTCCCCTGCAAGTATACTCGGAAGTTGGGTGATTGCCCACACTGCCGCCAGCACTCGCCCTCATATGAGCTGTAGTTAGCCTCCGCGGGATTGCAACTCCGGCTGGCGAATGCCACTACTTTCTCCTCTCCTTCACGCTTCTGACACAGGATTGCCCCCATACCCGCACTGCTCCAATCCGTGTACAGCACAAATGAATCCTCTTTATTGGGCAGTGTCAGCACCATAGCCGTTTTCACGGCTTTCAGCAGTGCCTGGAGCGCCCCTTTCTCTGCTTTCCCCCATTCCCACTTCTGGTCCTCCCTCAGCAGCCGATTCAATGCCGCGGCTGTCTTGCTGAAGTTCGGTATGAACTTCCGGTAATAGTTGAGGAACCCGAGCACTGCCCTCAACGTCTCCTGCCCTTCGGCTGGGGAACTCTGTCCAAGACTTCCACCTTCGCCTGTTGAATCCCCAGCTGACCCCCTTGGACTTCGAACCCTAGATACTTCACCCCCGTATTCTCGAAGCTGCATTTCTTCGGGTGACAGGTAAGGCCGGCGTCTCGGATGGCGTCCAGCATTGCTTTCACGTCCTTCACGTGCTGCTTCGCGTCAGGGCTAAAGACCACTTCGTCGTCGATGTAGCATGCAGCCGCCGGCACATCACGCAGCATCGTATCCATGACTCGTTGGAACAGGGCAGGCGCGTTTTTCATTCCGAACGGCATAAAGCGCCATTCATATAAGCCGTCCGGCCCATGAAATGTTGTCTTCTTGCGATCCGCTGCTCTAATGGGGATCTGGTTGAATCCCTGCCGCAAATCTAGGGTGGAGAATACTTTTGCCCCTTGCAGCTTATCGAAGGTCTCCTCTGCTGACTGCATGGGGTACATATCTGCCACTGTAACCTTGTTCAGACTCCTATAATCCCCACACATTCTCCGCGCGGAGACGGCTCCCGTCAGATCCTTCCGTGAGGCTACCACTGTTGCTGCGGCGTAGTCGCTTTCGGATCGTTGGATCAACCCTGCTTCCAACAGCTCGCTGCATTTCTCGGTGCAGATGTCTATGTCTCCCGGGCTCATCCGCCGCTTCCGTTGGTATATTGGAACCTCGGTGGTGAGCTCGATCTTCATCTCGTGCGTGGTGCACCTTCCCAGTTCCTGCAAAGTGTACGCGAAAGTCCCGCAGTGCTGCTTCAGCACTTCCTGCAATGCCGCCGCCGACTCCATATCCATCCCCCCTCCGAATACCAAATCCTCGCCGGGGCCCCGCTCCCGCTTCGCTGGTAGCTCCGCCACTGCCTCCGAGTCTCCCTCGACTTCTCCCTCTGTCGATTCTATGGCCATGTACGCTGCCCACCCTTCATCGATCTTCTCGTCATACCTCTCCTCGATCCGGGCCAGCGACTTCTTCTGCCATTCGACTGACTCGAGGTCTCGGTAACGCTCACTGCACGCGATATCTCTTTGCAGCTCCTTCGCCTTCAGGTGCATGCGCATGGTATCCAGGAGCCACGTCATTACGTTCGCGTCCATGTCTCGACCTAAGGCGGCTCTGCGCTGTTGTTCGGTCACCTCAGGATGGGCGGTGGCTCCCCACAGGTGTCCCATAGCTGCCTCCCTCTCGTTCGCCGTCGGTTGTTCCCAGACTCCCTTCCATACGTCATAGATCATGCCTGGTCCCGGCAGCTCCCCTTCCATGCGGAACCCGCTAGCGTCGGCGTAGGATACTAGTGTGGTTGCCTTGGCTTGCCCGGCTCGTTGCACTGGTACTGGGATGGGCGATCAGTGCACGTCACAGGGGCCGGCAGGCGATTGGGCTCCAGGATGTCACTTACTAGGCGCGGCTCTGGGCGCTGCATCAGCGCCAGCGAGTGCCGCAACGCCGCTGTGGACATCACATTCTGCCAGTACCGCCGCGGCCGGTGTGCCCGCGATCCCAGATGCGCCGCGTCGGCCGGTACTCCTCTCTCCAAGACCCCCACTATCTCCTCGAACGCCCTCTTCACCGGCTTTCTCCTGTCCTCTGCCAGATCTACATTCTCTAGAATGTAGGCGACTTCCCCCTGTCTCCGCTGGATCATCTCTAGCACCCGCTGGAGGTCCCAAAACGATGCTCCCATGGCGTCTTCCATCCCCAAACCTTCCCCCGCTCTGGAGTATCCCTGACATTCCCACCCTGCGATCACCAAGTCTATCTGCCCCCAGCTGTCCAGTACTTGCTCGGAGATGTCACGGACATCGTGTACCTCCTGCTCCGCCTCGTGCGGAATCGCGTCCTCCCACATCTGATCTGGGTATTCATCTTTGAGCAGCAAGGCATGGTGGCGCGCCATCTTCCGCACTGCTGGATCACGCTCGACATGAATCCATCGCTTGACCGTGCATCTTGCTCGTAACGCCGCTGCCAGGCCGGTCCCGATCCCCCCGTACAGCTCTAGGATGCGTAGGGGCACGTCCAAGGCCTGAACGCGACTGACGCGTTCCGTCAAGTCGGGCGGGCTTTGTCCTAAGGTCCGCCTCTCTATCCGGCGTTCGTATTCCTCCTCGTACTTCTCCCACGGTCATTCCTCCAGTTCCTCTGTCTGGTCCTTCTTTTGGGCCTGATACGCCTCTCGTGGCTCCCGAACGAACCGGACGGGCAGCGTGCCCACGGAGCTCTCTGGGTCCCAATATTGCACGCGGAACAGCACCTTCTTCTGCCACGTGCAAATAGTAGCTCCCACTCGATAGAGGAGCTCCATCCCGACGAGGACATCGTAGTCCTCCGATTCAGAGACGCCGCACTGCAAGCGGATACAGCACTCCTTCTCTGTCCCGGGTAAGAGTAGTACTTCCACCGGCCTCCTCGTTTTCGGCATCCACTTAGGCTCTCCTCCTTCGGCGGTCATGAGTAGAATTCCCCGCTCAATGGTTCGTCCGGCTACATCCATCTTCAGTTGCTTAGCGAGCCCCTTGCCTATGAGCACGTGATGCGCGCCCATATCAGTGATTGCTTGCCGCACGGGTAGGCCTCCCACAGTGAGACTCCCCCTTTCGGCAATCAGCACTGACGCCAGGCACACCAGCCTTTTGTTCGGGTGTCCCCTCATTTCGGACGGTCGCGTTCCTTCCGTTTGACTGCTCCGTAGGCGGGTTCCACTAGTCACTTCGCTATTCTGGGACTGGCTAGCCCTCGGGCGGAGGCGGAGGTCATCTCGTGCCCGTGGAAACGCCATCACTGCGTACTCCCGCGTGTAGTCCTCCTCTCCCTCTTCTTCGGCTTCGTCCACCTCTTCGTACGCCAGCAGAGCTCGTGCTTTTACTTCCCTCGTGGTGGGTAGCTGCTCCAGTCGCAGCTGCAGCCGCCGAACCTCGGCTTGGAGCTCTTCTCGAGTTGCCCACAGTGCGTCCTTCGGCCTACTGTAACAGTCCTCCTTCCGATGCCCGCGTTTCCCGCACTGCTCGCATGTCGGCGCGTTGGGACAGTCCCGCTTCAGGTGCCCGTGTTCCCCACAGAGGAGGCATAGCCGAGGGTCCGCGCGGCCGCTGCCCCCAGGGGCGGGGTCCGGTACTGCCGCAGCGGCCCAACTCGTCCTCGCCCGACTCTTCCCTTCCGCATCTTCCAGATCCAGCAGTCGCTGCGCCTGTCCCGTTTTCTTAGCCAGCAGGTAAACTTCTTTGAGGGTGATATCCGCGCCTATGCCGTAGACGGTGCTTCGTACTACTCCCTTCAGCTCCTCGTCTAGCCCCCGCACGAACTTCCTCACAAGCAGACGTTCGTCCTTGCTTTCCAGGTCCTCAGCCAGTTCGCGGAGTCGGGAATATTAAGCCAACGGCGATTCCTCCTTCTTCCGGCGAAAGTCCCGAAACTCCTCGACGCGTGCCTTGGTCTGTCCCGCGAACTCCTTCCTCAGCAGCTGCAGGAACCGGGCTGTAGGATTGGTTATCTCTCCTTCCGCCAACTCCTCTAAGACCTCGTCTCGGGTCAAACGATAGAATGTCTCGGCTTCGCCCGCCAATGTCCCCACCATTTTTCGGAAGAGCTCAGTCGGGTCATATCCATCGCGCTCTAAGCAATACTGCACGGTCTCGAGCTGCATGAGATAATTCTTCAAGCTGGGCCCCACGCCCGGAATACCCGTGTACCACTCCACTACTTCCACTTTGGGCAAGTTGGTCGCCTTCCAGCGGACTCCACCGATACTGCCTCCTTCCGGCGGGCCATCCGGTGCCACTGTGACGCCACTGTGCACCATAGCCCTCCCGTGTCTCGGCTCCGATACGAGGCCTTCGTTCGGCTTCCAGCACTTGTCTGGTAAGTCTTTCTTCGGAGACATCCCCGGCATTCCGGTTTGCGGGGTCACCACTTCCTGGTTCTTCCACCGCTCCCTTACTCTCTCGGTCCATCGAGCGTCGTGCGGGGTATCTCCGGGGTCTGAGACGACGGTCCGATCGCGTTCCACGGGCGCGTTGATGAGGCGTCCGGTACTTAGGTGACTCCGTTTCTGCGCGTGCCGAGCTTGAAAGTCCCCGCGCAGCTATGACGTCGGCTGCCACTCCGCCGTGGGCTTCAACTCGCCCGTGTCGTTCCACAATCGCGTCCTTACGAAATCTCGACTGTTCATCGATATCTTCTTGCGTGATTGTTAAGATCTCTCTTGCCCCAGCCGGGAACGGATTCTCAAACCCTAGCTCGGCAGACTGAGAGAGTGGCTGAAAAAATTATTGGATGCTTGCGCAGCTGGTTCCTCGGGCTCAGTTTCGCTTGTGTAGACCGAAAATTGTAAGCATAAGTGTGAAAACAATCACGCAAGCATCTCCCTAAGCTTGCTTAAGTTCTTAAGTACCAGCGACGGGTTACTGTTGTGCCAACGGTCGTCGGTCGCCCGCCAATTCTCTACCTTTCGAGTATCTTGCTCCGGCTCCAGCCGATTCTATGTGTATCCTCCCTACTGCATGTTTTAATTTATTCAATCAGTCACGATGATATATCTGTTGACAGAACTAGGCAAGAATAATTGAAAGGAGAGAGGGTTTCACTAGCAGCAGTTGGGGTACATATAGCAAACCCTAACTGGGTTGTACTCGCTATAGAGCACCCCACTACAGGCTAGACAATAATAACATTCTGACACACCCCCATAGCCAAAGTGGGGTGTAATCAGCACAATGAGCAGGCATAGTAATAGTTCACAATTATAAGTACAGCTAGAGGTGATCACAGAGGGCAAATGAGGAGGAGGAGAGACTGTGAGGGCGAGAAGATGAAAGGCGCTGACTGAAGCTGCAGACACACGGGCAACAGGAGCGGCGCGCACAGAGGCTACCGAGCGCACGAGGGCACCGGACTACGGGAGTATCTGGCTCTGCGGCTACGACGAGCACACACAGGAGCAACGGACCCACAGGCGACTGGCGAAGCAGGCTCGCTGGGCTACCGAAACGCGCGAGGGCATCCGGACTACTGGCGCTGCTGGCGTCACGACGGCTACCTCCACGCAACCTCCCCCGACCGTCCCACGCCCCTCTCACACACCCCCTGCTGCACCCCTAGCTCCACTCCCACGTCACCCCCCTTAAACCCTAAACCCTCGGCTCCCACACACCCACCCCCCTCAGCGGCAGCTGCAGCAGTGGGAGACGGAGGAGGAGGAGGAGCTGCAGGTTACCCACACCGGTCACCCCCATGCCCGCCACCCCCAAACCCTAACGCAGGCAGGAGCGCAGGAAGCAGCAGGGGCGGGGCACGGAGGGAAAGGGAGGCGGCGGGGTGGCTCCTGGGCGCCACGAAGAAGCAGGGCGCGGGCCCCCCGAGGGCGCCACGGCGGGTGACGGGAGGGGGGCCGCGCACGGGCCCCCGAGGGCGGCTCGACGGGCGACGGGAGGGGCCGCGCGCGGGCCCCCAAGGCGCCGCGACGAGGCGACGGGAGGGGGGGACGCGCGGGCCCCTAAGGCGCTGCGACGAGGCGACGGGAGGGGCCGGCGCGCGGGCCCCCAGGGCGCCGCGACGAGGCGACGGGAGGGGGCGACGCGCGGGCCCCCAGGGCGCCTCGACGGGCAGAAAACCGCCGCGCGCCTCGGGGCGCACGGCGGGCAGAAAACCGCCGTACGCCCCGAGCGCACGGCGGGATGAAAAACCCTAAAAATTTCGGCAGGAAGAAGGCGGCGCGCGCCCGAGGCGCGCGAGAAGCAGAACAGCAGCGGAAGCAGTTAGGTGGCGGGCCCACCCACAGGATCGACCCAAGGGGGTCGACCTGCTCTGATAGCATGTTGACAGAACTAGGCAAGAATAATTGAAAGGAGAGGGGGTTTCACTAGCAGCAGTTGGGGTACATATAGCAAACCCTAACTGGGTTGTACTCGCTATAGAGCACCCCACTACAGGCTAGATAATAATAACATTCTGACAATATCTACGGTCCTACGCAAAGATTAGAATCGTGACACGCCTCAAGAAAGGCGCTGGCTATAAGGCCACGAAACGGGAGAGAACGGGAAAACGTTTGAGACGCCTCAAGGAAGGCACTGGCTATAAGGCCACGAAATAGGAGAGAACGGGAAAACGTTTGAGGTGCCTCAAGAAAGGCGCTGGCTATAAGGCCACGAAACGAGAGAGAACGGGAAAACTCTCTTAGAAGCTTCTCGCACAACAGCAAATGCATCCTGCGAGTAGGAAGGGAAATGTGAAAATTTGCAACACCGATTGAGGAATTTAGGAAGAGTAAGGAAAGCAACAGGTAGGGAAAGCAGCTGGTGGGTAAGCAGTAGCAACACACTCTAGAAAAACTTCATCTACAAGGTGACTATACCGGGAGCACACTCTTGAGGGTCTCGCAAGCAGCAACCCTCTGCTGGAGGTCTCTCGTCGTCCCGCGTAACTGAGCATTTCCGCGACGCGATTGCCTCTAGCTGGTTAACCCGCGCCAGCTGCTCCGCGTACTGCTGACGTGTCTTCTCCGCGAGGCTCATTGCGCCGAATATCCCCCCCAGCACCTCCTCGATCGCTGCTTTAGGCGCGATCCGTGCTTTTGGCGCGCAAAAAAGGGCTCTTCCTGCCGGTGATACAGCTGCAGCTGCTTGGAGTGTTGTACATGCTGCTACAGATGCTGCTGCGGATGATGCTACACATGCTGCTACAGATGGTGCTGCTGCTCGTTCCGACGTGTCTGCAGCGGCGACAGCTGGACGTGCAACCGCCACAGTTGCCAGCGCTGCTGCTCTTCTCGCCCGACCGCACAATCGCAAGGAGTCGCCTGAACTATCTGGTGCGACGGTTCTTGCGACAGAGTGCAACGAAATGCGATGTGGAGCGTAACTTATTCTGGCTCCTAACCCATATGCACGACCAAACGCCTAGGATCGTCCTAGGGAGCCATTCCCGAAGTCGAGGCACCTACTACACCTAACACACGGACCAGTTGCGAGACCAAATGAGTCGCTTCCGTGGGTTAAGACCGAGGACCCTCTTGCAAGCAACCCCATTCTCGTGCCCGCCTTTCCAGCCCCTGAAGCCTTTGCTCTCCTATTTCCACTATGCTGTTACGTCGTCGTTGGCCTAAGTAAGAAAGAAATTACTCAAATCTGCCTTCATCGAGAACAAGAGCACGAAGCGGAAAGCGGGCATTCCAATATTGCTTCGATTCGATACTATTGATGCAACGATTTCGATGTGGGAAGGAATATTTAGTACATGTGTTTTCCCAATTACGTTATGGCAAGTGCGTGCCTGAACAATATTGTCAGGGCTCCAAGTATAAGGATTAATTACAGGTGAACATACAAACAAATGCATAGCATTGGGAGAATATTCAGCGCATTAAGCTACCACAATGACAAACCATCCCCCGAATTTTAAATATGACGGAAGAATATAGTCACCAGACATTCTTGCTTTACATAACAGTGTGTATATCTTGTTTCTTTAGAGTGCACTTCTGAGTGTTGTAAGTATTGCGACAGTAGTGGGTTGCCACGAATCGCACCTTATCACCATCCGCCACCACTACTCAACGAAGCATCTCACTCCGTCTCTGCCTTATCCTTTGACCCACGCGCACCTCATCTCTCCGCATACCACCGAACCACATGCGATTGGATACCGAACCGAACCAGGTTTACGTCAAGGGCGGACCATTGCCGGCGCGAACGCCACGACCTATATCCCCACCGCACGGTTCCGCCTGCGCGATCGTCGGCACTGACAGACTGAGGCAGCTATCCCGCCAGCCTTACAGCATCGTCTAAACCAACAGGCAGCCGCCCACACTCACCCGCCCTGGCGGGGCGGGGCGGCATTTCTCCAATCAGTGGCCCCCTCAAAGGACCTCCCCGAGCCGGGGGGGGGGGGGTAAGGGTGAACCCAGCAATGTGGATCGTTACGTGACTTTAGCGGACCCTTTCGCGGTCTGAATGTTCCGCCGGAGAGTCGTGCAAAGTACTCCGTAGGAGAATCGCTTGTGCCTCTTTCCAACAGGTACTCGCCATTTCGTTAGCATCATCCTCAAACTTTCCATCACGTTCTCAGTGCGTTTAGTAGTACTAATCTTGGTCTCCCTACACAACTAAAAGCACCCAGCTAGTAGCTGATTTCGCCACTGGCGATGGCGGAGAATGTGACGGATGACAATTTCTCATATCTTGTTCTGAGTAATAAGCTCCCCGTTGTTGTCCTTTTCCACGCTAAAACATGGTCCGGTCCTTGCAGGATGATCAGTCCCTTGATTGATCAGCTTGCGGAGGAATATTCAGGAAGGATCACGTGCTTCAAACTAGGCACTAGCAAAAATCCCCAGTTGGCCGCCAATTACAGCATCCGAAGCGTTCCCGTTGTGCAGATCTTCAAATGCGGATGCGCGGATGAGACGATAATTGGCGCTGTGAGTTATGGGGCCCTGCGAGCAACCCTCGAGAAAGTCTTATGAGATGCTTCGTGCTCTACTGTTGCGAGTCCTATGAGATGACGATACTTGCGTTTCTTGTGAAAACTATGAGGCAAGAATGATTGGATTGAAAGAAGCAAGGGTACAAATAGGAAACCCTAGTTGGGGTTGTACCCCATATTGGCTACCCCACTACAACCTACAAACATATAGCACAGCTATACTTTGACACACCCCCATAGGCAAAGTGGGGGAGAGCAAGGGGTCACAAGACCAGTCAAGCAAAGCAAAGAACAAGCTCAGGGTGGATCACAATGTCACCACACTCTCTGAGCACAAGCAAAGGCCACAAGGCCAGTTCACATGCAGATTTATATAGAAGAACACAAGTAGTACAGTGATCAAAGCCTAGCAAGTGCAAGCATGCAAGGACATATATATAGATCACAATACAAGCAAAGTCAAGAAGTAAGCAAGTGAGAGAACGTGGACACAAGGCCTAACGCAGTGCAGTGCCGCTGATGATCACTAGGCGGAAGCGCCTTGGTGAATATATCAGCAGTGTTGGCCTTCGAGTCCACGTACGCAAGGCGAAGCTGGCCACGCTGCTGCAGCTCTCGAGCCAGAAAGTAACGGAGAGCAATGTGCTTCGTTCTGTGCTCCAGTCTGTGCTCCTGACACAAGGCAAGAGCTGCCTTGTTGTCGCCGTACAGAACTGGAGGAGAACGAGGCCGCTCACCCAGGTCAGTCAGCAGGTAGGTGAGCCAGCGTAGCTCCTGTGCAGCCATGGCCGTGGCGTAGATCTCAGCCTCACAACTGGAGCTGAGAACAGAAGAAGAGCGAGTAGAACGCCAAGAAACAGAGCCGGAGCCAAGGCTGAAGGTGTAACCCTGTGACGACCGCTGCGTAGCCAGGTCGTCAACCCAAGAGGCGTCTGAGTGTCCAGTGAGGACAACCGAGCCCTGTCCTCCAAGCACCAGCCCCATGCCTGATGTACTGCACAAGTAGCGCAGCACCCTCTTAGCAGCCTCCCAGTGCTCTCGCCTGTGTCTCCCAGGTGCAACGTAGCGAGCTAGGATGCTAAGAGGGTACGCAAGGTCAGGTCGAGTGCAAGTCATCAGGTACATGAGGCAGCCCACAAGCTCTGGGTACAGGCCACTCGGCTCTACGGACTCGTCCGAAGGTGGAGCTGAGAGCGAGTGGCTGGTAGACAGAGGAGTGGACTGAGGTGAGGAGAACTGGAAGCCGAAGCACTGAAGGACCTGCTGCACCATGTGTGACTGAGTCAAGGTGATGGTGCGGCGTGCTCTGTCCCGGGTGATCTGCAAGCCAAGGTAACTACGCAGCTCACCCAGGTCTGTGCACGTGTGTCTCTTCTGCAGCTCCGACTTCACAAGAGCAAGTGCCTCAGTGTCAGCAGTAGCAAAGACCAAGTCGTCGACGTACACGAGGATGTAGAACGGCGGCAGCGACGTGTCTGTGCGCAGGAACAGTGAAGGGTCTGCAGTGGAGGGAGCAAACCCAAGAGCCGCAAGTGTCGTCCTCAGTGTGTCGTGCCACTTACGTGGCGCCTGGCGGAGACCGTAAACTGGCCGTTGGAGGCTCCACTGGGAGGAGGGAAAGACTCAGTGAAGCCAGGAGGACAGCGCAGCGAGATCTCCTCGTGCAGGCTGCCCTGCAAGAAAGCCGTGCTGAAGTCAAGAGAGTGAAGCTCGTAGTCACGCTGAGCGGCAACGAGCAGCATACACTCGAAGAGTGGTCATCTTCGGGGTAGGGGAGAAGGTCTGGAAGAAGTCAACTCCCTGTCGCTGACTGAAGCCTCGAGCAACGTAACGAGCCTTGAAGACAGGCGGAGAACCCGGCGGCCGCTTCACCCTGAAAATCCACATGCCATCGACGATGTTCACCCCAGGAGGGGGAACCTCGTCGACGTAGGTGCCTGTGGACTTCCAGGATGCCATCTCTGCGTCCATGGCTGTCTGCCACTGAGAGGAGTAGGGACCCGAGACCGCCTCTGTGTAAGAGCGGGGGGTAGGGATGTCAAGTGCATCCGGGTCTCCCTCAGGGGCAAGCAGCCAGGCCGTGAGATGAGGTACAGCAGCCGCAAGACACTCAAGGTCCTCGTGCCTGTCCTCAAGGACGTCTGTGCCAAGAGCACACTCACCCCCGACGGACGGAGGACAGACAGACGCAGACTCAGTAACAAGACTAGCAGCGTAGTCTAGACGAAAGGCAGCAGCAAAGTCCACAAGCTCAGCGACCAAGGCAGACGCAGTAGCAGACTCAAACGACGGGTCGGTGACAACAGTGGCTAACAGACGCGTGACAGTAGGGTGCTCAGCACGAAACCGGTCAGACTCAGGGTCGGGAACGTCAGGCAGAGAGGACGCAGGGGGAGACGGCAGAGGAACACGCTGCTGAGTGGGAGAAGGACGTCTGACAACCAGGGGCGTGATGCGAACAGGCGGCTGTAAGACAGGACGTGACGCAGGCTCACGACGCTCAGTAAGACCTCCTGGCTGCTCAGAGTAAGGAGAAGGAGCAGGCAGTGGTGAGCCAGGCTGTAAGGGAAGACCAGTAGACGACGGGAGACTAAGAACCTGGCGAAGTGCCGAGTCAGACGGTGGCTGAGAAGACGGAGACGGCGGAGCAAAGAACAGACGCCGCGGCGCCGCGTCACCAGCAGCAGTAGAACCAGTACCTCCAGCAGCTCCAGCCCCCTCAGCAACAGCGCCACCAGGACCAGGTCCACTGACAGCAACACCAGCACCCCCAGTAGCTCCAGGGCCCCCAGCAGCTCCAGAACCACCAGCTCCAGCACCTCCAGGACCAACTCCACTAGTAGTAGCACCCCCAGAACCGGCACCCCCAGTCCCAGGGTCTCCAGCAGCAGAACCCTCACGCAAAGTTCCTCCAGCCCCGGAAACTCCAGTCCCACCGGGACGAGCACCTCCAGGACCAGGGGAAGGAACTCCAACACCTCCAGAAGCAGAGCCTCGAGCTCCAGCAGCGCGACCCTGACGGCGCCCGAACCAGTCGTGCAGCTGCTGCGAGGTAAGAGGTACACGCGGACGAAGGCGGTCGCTCCACGGGGACCGCGTCCCAGCAGGCGCAGTAGTCGCAGTCGGCTCACCTCCAGGCCCAGCTCCCCCAGTCTCCACACACACAGGCACGTCACCCCCAGACACAGCACCCTCAGGCGTAGCACCACCAGGCTCGTGACTCGCACGCTCAGCACCTCCAGGCACCCCACGCTCACGCTCCGCACCCCCAGGCTCAGCACCTCCAGGCACCTCACGCTCACGCTCCGCACCCCCAGGCTCAGTACCTCCAGGCTCCGCACCCCCAGGCTCCGCACCCCTAGGCTCCGCACCCCGAGGACCAGCACCCCCAGGGCCAATGACACCTCCAGCAGGACCAGAGTCACCAGTGACCTCAACAGGCGCAGGTACGGGAGGGTCTACCTGAGAAACACCTGAAGGGGCAGGACCTGGCGCGGGAAGGGGGTCTACCTGGGGAGAACCTGGGGTGAGAAAAAGCGGCGGGGGGGCGCGAGGGGAGGTACGGTAGGGAAAGAGACGGTAGAAGGGAACAGACTCGTCAAAGGTGACATCCTGAGACGCAAAGACACGGCGCGAGGCGGGGTCGTAGAACTGCCAGCCAGGCGCGTCAGGAGGAAAACCAAGGAAGACACAGGGAATGGCGCGGGCGGAGAGTTTGTCCGCGGTGGTATCGCGGACAAAGGCACGAGCACCCCAGACCCGAAAGCGCGACGCATCGCCAACCTCCCCCGTCCACAACAGTGTGGGCGAGGTCTCCGGCAAGGAGACACGGGGCCAGAGGTTGAGCTGATGCGCGGCGTAGCGGCCGCAAACGGCCACAGAAAATGGGGGGCAGCCGCATGGATCATGGAGGTACGAGCGACCTCCATGACTAAGCCAATGCGGTGCTCAGCAACCCCATTCTGCTGCGGAGAGGCCAGAAGCGTGAACGTCTGACGGATGCCGTGCTCCGCACAGAAGGCTCGCAAGAGGTCAGAGGAGAACTCACCACCTCTGTCAGAGTGCAGACGCAGGACAGGAAAGTCCGTCGAGAACCGCTCGCGAAGCTGGAGACGAGCAGCGCGGATCCAGGGGATCAAAACATCAGGGACCTGCCCCTTGCTGCGCAAGGGGAAGACCGTGGTGTAGCGCGAGTAGTCGTCGACGACCAGCAGGAAGTAGCGCTCGCGGCCCTGACCCTGAACGCGGGCTGGGCCCCACACGTCCATGTGGAGCGTCTGCAGCGGAGCCTCTGTGGGAGGGAACGAGGAGGAGTGAGGAGCGGCGCGCTGCCGCCCCTCGACGCAAGGAATGCAGGGCGGCGCAGGCGAGGGAGGGAGTGCAGGCAGGGACCTGGGAAGACCAGAGACCAGACAGCGAGAGTGCATGCCACGCAGGCGAGGCAGGGAGGGGTGACCAAGGCGGTGGTGCCACAGGAGAGTGTCGTGGGACAAAGGAGTGTAGCGTGAAACAGTGGTGAGAGTGTAAAGACTGGACCCCGGCTCACGGGTGAACGTGGCCAGGTGGCGGCCAGTCTTGGAGCAGGTACAGATCGCCACACGCTGTCCTCCAGGAGTCCAGGTGTCAACCCAGTGATCCTGAAGGACGGCGTTGCTCACCAAGTTCGTAGAGAACGAGGGAACATGGAGACCTGACAGCTCACCAGACGGGACCGCTGGGCACGGAAGCACAGTCGTGGCACGTGCAAGCACTGGGCCCCCAGAGGGGTCAGCCAGCGAGACAGGAACAGGTGCAGGGAGGGGGGTGACTGCGGTGCTGTCGCGAAAGAAACAGCGAGAAGCACCAGAGTCAAGTGTAAACGTGTGCAAAGCCTGCGCGGACGCAGTACCAGAGGGGTCAGACGCACGAGCACCTAGGGCTGCAGTCTCTATTCCTGGGCCAGGTGGAACGCACAAGTAGCAGTCACCCTCAGCACTAACAGTCAATGCATACATGGCAGCAAGGATTGCATCATAGTCAAGATCATAGACATTGACATCACGCCTAAGCAGATCAGCCCAGTTGGGGAACTCAGTGGCATCAGGGAACTTGGCGCGCCAGGCGTCGCTGAGGCGCGCAAAGCAACGGGACTCAGGGTGAAGGCCGTTGCACGTGCGGCCCTTGCGAGGGCCAGTGAGAATGACATAGGGGCAGCGACCAGAACCCCCAGACGCCCCACGCCCAGCATACCAGTCATGAAGCTGCTGAGAGGAGGGGGTCTGGCGCTGCTGCTGCTGCTGCTGCCTCTGCTGCTGCTGCTGGCCGGTCCCACTCCCGCCTCCACCACCACCCCCACCACCACCGCCTCCTCCCCCCTTGCCGCCGCTGCCACCTCCACCACCCCCACGACCACCTCCACCCCCCCACCACCCCCACCGCCCCCACCATCGCTCCCCCCACCCCCACCCCCACCACCCCTGCCCCCCTTGCCGCCCCGGCCCCCGCCGCGCTTCCCACTAGGAGCGGAAGCAGTGGCGACCTTCTCAGCACCAGGAAGGTCAACGGGAGTAGCAACCGAGGCGTACGAGGGGGCGAGGGGGGAGGGGGAGCACCCCTCAAAGAGGGGAGTGCGGGGAGTGCCTCGAGCGGCACCGACAGCTAGGAGATTCTTCTCTGCTGCGTGAAGCTGCCGCTCGAAGTCGTCCAGGGTGATCTCGGGGGCGTCGATGGCGAGGAAGTGGTCCCTGACTGTGCTAAGGGTGTCAGGGAGGCGGGTGACGAGGAGGTAGAGGGTAAAGTAGAGTGAAGGGGGGTTCTTGGCACGGAACTCGTCCTTAAGAGTGGCGTTAAAGCGGGCCTCACTATCGCGAAGGTGAGTAATCAAGTCCGCAGCAGTGGGGAAGGAGGACAGGTCAGGGGACAGGTAGGGCAGGATAAGGCCTCCTACTGCAGCAGTGGCTGGGGAGGAGTAGCGTGCAACTACTGCGTCATAAAGTGCCTTGGCAGTTTTGTGCTGACTGAAATGCGCGCGCTCAGCGATCGGCAGATGGTTGCGGATAGCAAGGCGCGCAGCAGCATCGCGAGTCAGCCACTGTGAGCGGTCTACAGCAGGAGCACTGTCAGCAGGAGCAGCGGCAGTGCCAGTGGCGTAGTCGAAAAGCGAGACACCATCTTTGGCATCAGTCAGAAGGAAAAGCTGCAGATCGTCAAGCCAAGTGGGAAATGCGATCGGGCGACCGTCAGGTTCGAAAGCTAGCACATTCATGGTCGCCATGGCAGCAGCGCAAGGCAGGCAGGCGTAAAGCAGGATGCAGAGGCAGGTTGAGGCCGGGCGCGGGCTTAGGGGCAGCGCGACGGTAGGCACGGGGGCCGGGCGCAGGCTTAGGGGCAGTGCGACGGGCAGGCAGGGGCCGTGCGCGGGCTTAGGGGCAGCGCGACGGTAGGCACGGGGGCCGGGCGCAGGCTTAGGGGCAGTGCGACGGGCAGGCAGGGTCCGGGCGCGGGCTTAAGGGCAGCGCGACGGTAGGCAGGGGGGCCAGGCGCGGGCTTAGGGGCAACGCGACGGGCAGGGGGGCCGGGCGCGGAATTAGGGCGACGCGACGGGCAGGAAGGGGCCGGGCGCGGGCTTAGGGGCAGCGCGACGGGCAGGGAAGGGGCCGGGCGCGGGATTAAGGGACAGCGCAACGGGCAGGCAAGGCAGGGCGCGTGTGGGGCAGCGCGGTAACCGCAGTCAAGCAGGCGTTCGGTGGGCCCGGGAAAAAAAAATCGGTCCTAACGGACCTACTACTCCGAAACCATGTGAAAACTATGAGGCAAGAATGATTGGATTGAAAGAAGCAAGGGTACAAATAGGAAACCCTAGTTGGGGTTGTACCCCATATTGGCTACCCCACTATAGCCTACAAACATATAGCACAGCTATACTTGGACATTTCTGTCAATCTCGATCAGACACTGCTGGCGTTTAGGTTTTGTCATCTCTGTATGCTGTGCTGATTACAAGCAGGTGGCAAGTTCCTGCTGCTGGAGTCGAAGGGAAGGATGGGCGGGGCACACAACAAATTGTTCTAACAAAGCGTATTTCTAGAGGTTATTAAAAGGAAAGCTTGGTTATACTGTATTATTCAGAATTGCCCATTTTCTTTTAATCTCGTGTACGGAAAACCGGAACGGAAAACTGTATGGAAATTTTACTGGAACTGTATTCTAGATGATGCTATGGCTAGAGTTCAGTAATACCACTACCTTATGTTAAAACGGTGTATATGTTCTGTTCTACTCTCCTTCCCGATAATATATTGCTTATAACGGTGTACCTTCTGTTCTGTACCCCAAATTCTGCGCGGGAGTTGCCATGAATCGCACCATATCGCCAACTATCAGTAACAAGCCACAGTTCAACCAGCTCTCTTCCGCCGCCGCACTTCTCACCCACTTCGTGCCTTATATTGACCGTGATGCACCAAAAACCGCACCACACCTCAGTCTCTCCTCCCCTCCCCACCCACCCCACCGAAACGCTACAGTAGTAAGAACCAAACCCACCTTACGGACAGCGCTAGCGGACTGGAGCAGTTATCGCAACAGCGCTTGTGTGATTGGGTACCGTTCGAGTACCCAATGCGCTTCATGTGTGTCACACGACATACGGATACGGTATTATCCGCAGTCCAGCGTCCAGCATCCAGCATCACTTACTGGTAGCAGCGCCGCCTACCCCCGCCCCTAGCAAGGCGGGAAGCATTCCTCCAATCATAGACGCGACTCTCCCCGCTGACTCTTTCGCTGTTACGCGGCTTTAGCAAACTCTTCCGCGGATTCTTCCGCGGACTGACTCTTGCGCATCGTTGTATGTGCCCTGCTTGCCGGGAATCGTCGAGACTCGATACTTTATCTAGTGTTTTTTTTTTGGAAAATATGTCAATGGTAACTTACATGGGGCGCTGGTGGGAGTGGGGTCGGTGGTGGAGACGGGGGCGGCGGAGGAAGCAGTGGCAGTAGTGGCGGCGGCGGCGGTGGCGGCGGTGGCGGTGGTGGCGGTGCCGGTCGGAGCGGTGGTAGTGGTGGCGGCGGAGGTCGGAGTGGAGGCACTGGCTCGGGCCAGAGCTCCCAGCAGCAGCAGCGTCCCCAGACGACCCAGCAGCTTCGTGAGTGGCTTGCTCAGCGTGGGACGTCGGGGGCCAGTGCCCGCTGTTCTTATGTCATTCGCACAGGTGACCGCAAGGGACAGACGTGTGGGAGGTTCCACACCCCGTACCGCTGCTTCTCCCGCCTTGACGACGCTTGGCGTGAGGAGATGGGTGCGGATGTTGAGCGCCCCCGCTGGGCTGAGCTCATGAGGGCTGGTGTTGATGTCTTTGCTCTTGACTATGATGCTATTATTGCTGCCATGTATGCATTGACTGTTAGTGCCGAGGGAGACTGTTACTTGTGTGTGCCGCCTGACCCAGGTATAGAGCCCGCTGCCCTGGGTACTAGTGAGTCTGCTCTCTCTGGTATGGTGCCCCCTGTACTTGCTCCCCCCAGTGCTGTCCCGGCTGGTTTCGAGTCTGCTCTCTCAGGTACAGCACCCACAGAGACTCCTCTCTCAGGTACCGCACCGGCTGAGGCCTGTCACACCTTCACCCTTGACTCAGGTGCTTCCCGTTGCTTCTTCCGTGACAGTACTGAGCTCACACCGCTTCCTGCACCGGTCCCAGTCTCCTTGGCTGACCCCTCTGGGGGCCCAGTCCTTGCCCAGTCCACCACTGTCCTCCCTTGTCCGGCGGTTCCGTCTGGCTCGTTGTCGGGTTTCCACCTCCCCTCGTTCTCGACGAACCTGGTGAGCAACGCTGTCCTCCAGGATCAGTGGGTTGACACCTTTACCCCTGGCGGACAGCGTGTGGCGATCTGCACGTGCTCCAGGACCGGCCGTCACCTGGCTACGTTCACCCGTCGGCCGGGGTCGAGTCTCTACACACTGACCACTGCGTCTCCCCAGGTAGCTGCTGTCGGTCAGGTGTCTGCGTCAGGTCTGGTGGCCCACGCCTGTGAGTGTCGTTCCCTGTCGCACCAGACTCTTCTCTGGCACCACCGCCTGGGTCACCCCTCCTTGCCACGCCTTCGTGGCATGCACCGTCGCCTCCTTGTGTCCGGTCTTCCCAGGTCCCTCCCTCCCCTCCCTGCCTCGCCTGCGCCGCCTTGCCTTCCTTGCGTCGAGGGGCGGCAGCGCGCCGCCCCTCACTCCTCCTCGTTCCCCCCGACAGAGGCTCCTCTGGAGACCCTCCACCTGGACGTGTGGGGCCCAGCCCGCGTTCGTGGTCAGGGCGGTGAGCGGTACTTTTTGCTGGTTGTCGACGACTACTCGCGTTACACCACGGTCTTCCCCTTGCGCACCAAGGGTGAGGTCCCTGCTGTTCTGATCCCTTGGATCCGCACGGTTCGTCTCCAGCTCCGCCGCCGTTTCCGGACGGATCTTCCTGTCCTGCGTCTGCACTCTGACAGAGGTGGTGAGTTTTCCTCCGATCTCTTGAGGACCTTCTGTCAGGCGGAGGGCATCGAGCAGACCTTCACGCTTCCGGACTCCCCACAGCAGAATGGGGTTGCTGAGCGCCGCATTGGCCTGGTCATGGAGGTCGCTCGTACCTCCTTGGTCCACGCGGCGGCTCCCCATTTTCTGTGGCCGTTTGCTGTCCGGTACGCCGCGCATCAGCTCAACCTCTGGCCCCGTGTCTCCTTGCCGGAGACCTCGCCCACACTGCGTTGGACGGGGGAGGTTGGTGATGCGTCGCGCTTCCGGGTGTGGGGTGCTCGTGCCCTTGTCCGCGATACGTCCGCGGACAAGCTCTCCTCCCGCACGCTTCCCTGTGTCTTCCTTGGCTTTGTCCCTGACGCGCCTGGCTGGCAGTTTTACCACCCCACCTCGCGCCGGGTCTTCGCCTCTCAGGATGTCACCTTTGACGAGTCGGTCCCTTTTTACCGTCTCTTCCCCTACCGCACTGCCCCCCTCCCTCCCCCGCCGCTTTTCCTTGCTCCTGGTCCCCCTCCGGTAGACCCCCTTCCCCCTCAGGGTCCTGCTCCTTCAGGTGTCTCTCAGGTAGACCCTCCTCCCGTCGCTGAGCCTGTCGAGGTCACAGGTGACTCAGGTGCTGCTGCGGGTGGTGCTGCTGGGAGTGCTGAGCCTGGGGGTGCTGAGCCTGGGGGTGCTGGGCCTGGGGGTGCTGGGGCTGCAGGTGCTGGGACTGAGGGTGCTGGAGTTGAGGGTACGGTGCCTGAGAGTATGGAGCCTGGGGGTGCTGCGCCTGGGGGTGCTGAGTCTGCGGGTGCGGGGCCTGGGAGTGCTGGGACTGCGGGTGCTGGAGCTGAGGGTACTGTGCCTGAGAGTTTGCCGCCTGGGGGTGCTGCGACTGGGGGTGCTGAGCCTGCGGGTACTGAGCCTGCGGGTACTGAGCCTGGGGGTGCTGCTACTGAGCCTACGGAGCCTCGGGTTACTGCGTCTGGGGGTGCTCCGGTTCGGGGTGCTGAGCAGTCTCTCACACCGCAGCAGCTTCGCGACTGGTACGTCCGACGCTTTCGCCGTCCTAGTGGCTCGGCTGGAGTTTGGGGTGCTGGAGCTGCTCGTCCTGGGGGTGCTCGTACTGGGGGTACTGGAGCTGCCGGGACTGGCTGTTCTGGGAGCACTGTGACTGGAGCTGCTGGAGCTGGGGACTCTGGCGCTGGCGGTGCTAGCGGAGTTGGAGCTGCCGACTCTGGGGGTGGCGCTGCTGCTGGTGCTGCGGACCCACCTGGTGGAGCTGCTGCTGGTGCTGAGGAGTCGGACGGTGGAGCTGCTGCTGGAGCTGGGGACCCGGCCGGTGGAGCTGCTGCTGGTGCTGTGGACCCAGACGCTGGAGCTCCTACTGGTGCTGAGGACCCGGCCGCTGGAGTCCCGTCTGCTTCTGGAGACGCTGCGCGGCCGCGACCGTACTTCGTACCGCTCCTTCAGCAGGTTCTTGGGCAGGCTCCTCCTCCTTGTCCTCCTCCCTCCGTAGAGTGTCCTCCGCCTGTCCAGCCGCAGTCACAGTTACCGCCTGCCTCGCCTCTCCCTGCTCCCTCTCCTTATACTGGTCCCACAGGAGGTCTTACAGAGCGTCGTGAGCCTGAGTCTCGTCCTGCGTCGCCTGTTCGTCCTGCTCGCACTGGTAGTCGTGTCCGTCGTGAGCGTCCTCCTCCTGTCCCAGGCACTCACTACATGACTCTGCGTCCCTCTACTGCTCCTCGGCGTGTCCCTCTACCGTCTCCTCCTGC